TCAGTAAGTACATTGAATCCCTTACTTTCAATCATTTTCCCATTTATCTAATGAGTGATTTCTACATATTGGAATGTTATTTTCATTACATAACTTATTTTTAATCTCTGAATCTCATTTTGTATTTTATACCCCGAATTTTATCCAGCTTTACTTTGATATGTTCATAGTAGATAGTTATGAACAAGCTCAGACATATGAAATGTAATCTTCATTTAAACTGTGTCTTCAATACTCAAGAGTCCTCTAACAAATTAACGGGAAAAAATGGTCGGAAGTGATAAATACATTATGTACAATAAAAACACTGAAAATGTTGCTGATAATCTCAGTCATATGTCGTAATTATGTAACGTTGATTACTCTGAAAAAAATTTGGTAACATTATACTAAGATTACGAACCAATATAATTTGGACGATCAATAAAAGTCTAGAAGTATTGAATATCTTTTTTGTCTTAATAAAGGCTCCTCAGTGCCAGTGGGCATTTTGCGAGAGAACTCTGAGTCAAAACCCGACCGTTGTTGCTATCTTGACGTGGTGGTCAAGCTTGCCTATCGTGATGAAGCAACCGAGCTATACTGGCTGGAACAACCGTTCCTCAGGGTCCTACCATGCTAGACAGGTTGGTTGAAGAGCGGTAACACTAAAAGAAATAAATCTAAGGTCCTAAAGCGAAGTCGTATTGTTGACTGTACAGAGGTGTGACAGTAGTAAGGTGTTTCCTTCAGACAACCAGCATGACAGCGACACTGCCTTCCCATAAGGAGGGGTGGGGTTTAAAAAAGGTCGACCCTAAAAATGCACACCTCGCCTAATCCCACGGATATCCGTCTCCGGCGGTAAGGTCTCAACAAGTACGGAGCTAACACAAAAATTACCCATAAAAAGGTCGTGTGTGACCGACCTCAAGCAGTTGTCCCTCGGGCACTGCGGTCACGCTCTCAGGTCACTAAGACCACCTCTAATCCAACTTCCTTGTCATGTACCTGCATAAGAACCCTTCCACGGTTTGGGCAACCGGGAAGTGATAACCACCCTCATACCTTTAACCAGCACTCAAGACCACTGTATTCATAATCAACCTCCCTCTTTAATTCTTATTATTCCTCCTACATTGACCTTCACCTCTAAAATTCCTCTTTCGGCTTCCCCCTCAAGTGTTACCACAGCCAACGACTCTAGTGCGCAAAACACTGTCCCAGGTCTACTGAAACCTCGCTCCAAACTACACATTGGAGCCTTTAACGTACGCACCCTACGTTGTAGCTGACTGACTGACTGATTGAGTCAAGAGCCAATGGTGTATAAGCTCAACTACAATCAATCCTCTATCAAGTACTTTCAGATTTTCAATGGTTGTTTAAGTTAGGCAAGTTAGTGATCTTAATAAAATTCAACTACATCCACAATCTTTCATTGATTCTATACCTACCTCAATGGCTTGTTTCTCTTTTTCTAACTTTTCATATGCAGTTTGTAAATTCATTAATTTCTTTTCACTTTCCTTCTCTAAGTCAAACAATTTCACACTTGTATCTTGAAGTAATTTCCGTGTATTCATAATTGTTGTTCGACGATCTTCTTGCTATAAATATATACATAAAAGAAAACGTTACAATATAGATGAAAACAAAATGAAAAAGCATCCTGACGACATATTACATGTCGGTGATTACGTTTCATCTCACCGTCACACGGTGGGTAAGAGGATGTAAACAGAATAGGTCATTGGCTGTATCGATTTCATCAACAGGTATATATATCTGCTTATGATTTGTGCACATAACGATGTCGTCTTGATAATTTTACCTTTCTATTTATTTAACTTCCTCATTCTGAACAATGGAAGTATATAAAGTAACTGAACCGAACAGCAGAGCATCAAGGAAATGTACATCGTTGAAGAGATAATATTTAGATATGAAAACAGTGATTCAACGTTACTTGGTATTTAGTTAATCTTCAAATGACTCTAAACTGCAATGAATGTTAACCTGAAAGTACCTATCATAATGGCCTTCATATTCTAATTCGTAAATAGCCTCTAAAAGATTTTTTTTAAGCTTGAATAAGTTGTAACCGATACGGAATATCAAATGTGTTGAAACTGAAATATTTATCGGTAATAAGATCGATTGCAAGTCAAGTAGTGTCGTAAACTGGAAATATAAACCACTAGTGATCTAAATGTTTTACACTCCCTGAATAACTAAAGTGCCTTGACTCTGGTTTTGCATAGTCAACCAGTTCAGTAATGTTGATGAGTGTATATTTAAGTCCACTCAGATGTCTAGTGATCCTTTGTTTAAACAATCCTGTCGAAAAGTTATTAGTTCATAATGAAAACAGTTGTACGTTAATCTTCAAATTCAACCCAGGAAATCAATAATGAGACAATACAAACCATTCGAAACATCTTCATACATACTGAATAAACTAGTGAATCTTCGGAGACTCAGGATATTAACACATAATACACTAAGTTTCAAGAGATAGATACTGAGTTGGAGTGTTGAATGTAGGTACATCCATCAATGGATTGAGTTTTACTGTCGTTTACTGGTTAAGTCATTTGAATTCTAACTAAGTAGGTTTTAATTATGAGTCAGCACTATCCGTAATTCGATTTAGCGAGCCAGATAGTTTTACTAGCCTTTAAGCAAATAATATGACTCAAAGCTAACCATATTAACGTGTAAAGTATAAGGTGGTAGTTGCAGGAAGTCTAGATAAAACCCTATTTGACCTATATTTCATGTTGTTTGATACTTGTCAGTAAAGCGTATATGTAATTTTGAGGTAAGTAAATCGACTTGGTGAAGGTCAATCACGACCTCATAGCGACTCACGTGCAAATGAGTTTAGTCTCATCTAACACAGTTAAGCCCTTTTGCTAACTCATTTAGTGGACAAAGTCATCCGCACTATACCGACCACCACAACGTTAATAGCTGTGCGGTGAAATCTCTGACCGTCGATCTGGTTAACAGGATCAAATTCACCGGTGCGCATCGTTTTCCTTAATATTAAAGGGATACGTTGCTGACAATTACCAAATAATGCAAAGCCTAGATCAATGATTTCCCGTGGAATACATTCTGCCACCTAACATCTCAACATAGTCTATGAGTAGTCGAGTTACTGAGAACAAAGGCCACATTGAGATCTGATCGACAGAATTTGATCAGAGCCGAAACAGACAACACATACATGACATAGGTTACTACTTAATGGTCAAACAATTGTAAAATCTTGCACAGTTGATATGTTAAGATACTACTTTTTTTATTAGTCACCTATAAAATATGTGGTATGTTAAGCCCATATACCTTATTCTCGCTTTCGGACAGGTCAATCTATTATTATTATTAATTATTCGCTTATCAATCTTGACTGTTTTTATATGAGCGCAGATATGTGTGCCCTTCTTTTGCTATTCATCACATGTCTGTAGCTTATTTTTGTGACTGATTATTGATTAACCGTTGGTTAAATGGAGTTGGCTCACATGCCTACTCTACTGTGCGTCATTTCCCTTCGCTCTCTTCTCTTCACGTCATTCCTCGATTGCCTGTTCAAGTCAATCAGTGCATGAAATATACATATTCAAAATCCATTCTCGTATTTAGCTTATTTAATTCCGTTATTCACTAACGCTATTTAAGTCGATGGTAATAGACGAGGATTTACAATATTATATATCTCAACAGCAATCAGAAACGATCTCACCGGAGTCACAACCCATACCAATAAATTGGTGAGCACATCAACAACATTGTACGGTCTAATTGACTTCAAAATGAAGGTTTTTAATGATAACATTTACTTACCTCTTTCGCTTTTGATTCTAGTACAAGTCTTTCTGTAATCCATGCTTCTTGTTCACCTTCATATTGTTCTTTAATACTACGATAACGTCGTTGATAATCAATAACATTATTATGTAATGATTCATTTTGTATTTTTAATTCAATATTAGTACGATTCAATATATTAATATGTTCATTAAGTAAAGTGATTTTTGTATTAGGCTGTTGAGCTGCAATTGCTTTTGCATATGTATTACCCATATTGAAATTCGTAAGATAACCAGTTATATCCTTTAAAAAAAACCCAGTTAAGTTAACAATCATTGTATGTTAATAAGGAGTTTAGACAGTGAAATCCGAGTCAATATACAAATTGATTCATGGATTGGTTAAAGTTAGACATTAACACCGTCGGATACCGACTCAGTGATCTAGAAGGTTAGGCGTTCACACACGAGACCAAAGGTCCTGGATCCGAGTCCCGCATGTGGAGTCGTGGATACGCACTACTGAGGAGTCCCATACTAGGACGAAACAACCATCTAGCGCTTCTAGGTTTTCCATATTCGAATACAACATTACAGAATATTCTGGTAAAATCTGAGAACCATATAGTAAATACTTCATTTGTAAAATGTCAATCGATTATCCCAGACTTAATTGTTCTGTCGCTTCCGCACTAATCATTTTATGTTCTCGTTCTCCTTTCTTCGATCTCCTTAACCTTTTGCCGCCAGACATTTTACTTTAGGTTGATGATACATACTACTTATATCCGTCGATACCAGTAACACACACTACAGTATGAGTGAAGAGCTTAAGATTTAATGACGTTCAATAATAATGCGATATATCTTACTTAATCTGTGTTAAAACTACTCTCGTTCAATATCATACTTGAAATATACTAAAATGAGAAGTATACTGATTGTTATATATTACAACATCACCCCCCCTTTTAAGCAAGGAGATGTTTACTATTTGTGTTTAATATATCCATTCTGACTTTAAAGTACTATTATCTAAGCTCATACGTGGTGTACTAATATAATATGTTAATATGAGACTGGTCTAGGTGATCGACATACTCGGATACTTGAACAGTACATAATACAGAGGCTAGAGATCATATTATATCAGATATACAATTCACGACCGAGAATAGAGAATCAGAGAAACGCTAGACAATATGTTATTACAAGCAGTTACCCTAAGTGAATCCAAAGCAGAGATCAATAGGAGGAAGGTAAATCACATATTTAATAGTCAGTAAGTTGAGTGCCTGTTTTTTCCACGCTCAATGATCAGTGACATTTTACTCTTACTACCACAAATCACAGTTAATGAGTTCTTTGGGATTTGAAATCGGCCTATATTGCTCTTACATGTAAAGAATTACCGATAATTTATTCAGACTATGATAAACTTCTTCATACTAATCAATTACTGAATAGTAATTATCATCATATCTAAGACTTGATGTTTTGAATGCTCCGTTAATTCATAGTAATCTATTCAACAGATCAGTAAACAAATAGCTGATGACTTCAGTGGTTGATATGATGAGCCTATTGAAGTTAGACGAAGATGGAAAACCTGAAAGCACTAGATGGCCGTTTCGTCTTACTGTGGGACTTCTCAGTGGTGTCCATCGACGATCCCACCTCACGAGATTCAAACCTAGGACCTATGAGTCTACAATGTGGTTAGATGATCAACTTTTTAATGATAGATTCTTTAAATACTAAACAAACAAATTAAATTAGTTTGAGTTATCATGTTAAAATGAAGGGATAACTTTGAACTTTAAATTTATTTGGTTTAGATCAATAACAGTGTCCGATACCTATACCTTGTTAGATTTAATCTCTATGAGTGAATTCGCATGAAGTTGTTAATGAATTTTAAATTCTATAACAAGAAAGATAGTAGCATAGTTCAAACATTAGTTTGTTGTTAGGATAATTTCAGTTTACATTTTCTAGTTAGCTCCTTATCATTTAATCACTCTCCAGTTAATGTGTATTAAAACTGTAATAGTATCATTTAGATAAAATTCAGATCAGGTGAATTACAGTCTTCACATTGTGAAATGAATTTGACTTGACCGATATTGATGTAAATGGTTCAGATGGAGGTGATCCTCTTGAAATCGGATACATTCAACGAAACAGTTTTACAACAAATCTCCTATTATTTGATCGCTTTCAACATTGATTAGAGGCTATCAAAGTACCTAGAACAAACTATTTGTTGTATATGGAGAAATTCAAATAGATCATTTTTGATAGAGCTATGTTCTCTAAGCTAAATAGTTTGATTGGGGAGCTTTCATCGTTCATCTGAACGATATCAACAGTACAAACTTCAGGTCGATCACTTCTATCTTAAGTTTACGTTAATGATATTATCTAGAAAAACAATGAAATATAGTGAAACGAATGATGAAATATCAATAAATTTCATGAATATGGAACTTTCACTTGATATTGTTTTGCTTGAATCTTCCCATTAAGGTTTAAGACTGCAATTAATCAGTCTGTTATTGGCATATGTGCATCCTGTGCGTATGCCTCGATATTGCCCTAATTCACAAGCTTTTTGTAAACAAAGATGGATAGTGGCTAGCACTGGAATCAGGAGCTCGCGTTTCGACCTATTTGGGATTCGTCAGCTGGATGTACCTGCATCTCAGAGTTGATGTTCACTCTGGGACTCGAACTCAGTGCCATTCACTTCAAACGTCAATCGCGTTATCCAATCAGTTACTGAGTCCTGATAGCCACTTGCTTGTGCAATGGGGTGAATTTAAATTCACTTGGTGTTATTTTATTTGTATCTTCTCATTGAGGTTTAAGACAGAAATTGGTCAGTCATGTTTTGTTGGCATATATACATCCTGTGCATAATGCCTCGATATTTCCTTAATTCAAAAGTTTTATAAACAAAGATGGCTAGCAGTGGCTAACATTAGAATCCAGTTTGATGCGGGTTTCGTCCTATTTGAGACTCGTCAGCTGAAACTCTGTTTTGTTATTATCATTATGATTATGAAAGAGGACGGGGGATGGGGAAGAGAAAACATAATAAATGATTACCTTTCTACTTCTTTCTTCTGATGTATGCCTTTTATCTAATTTACAACGTAATTTTTTTAATTCAATATATAAATCATCTTTTTCACGTTTAGTTAATGATAATTCTCTTCTTAATTTATCCACTTCAAATCCACGTCGATTTAACATTAATTCACGATTTGTAAGATTATTATTATTATTATCTGATTGACTTGAATCACGATTAATATGATTAATACTACTATTATTATTGGTAGTAGTATTAGTAGTAGTACTCATTAAAACTGCTTCTTCCATACGTTTACGTAGATTTTTCAATTCTTGTTCTTTATTTGTAAGTCTATTTAGTTAAAAAGAAATAACATGTAACGTTGAAATAACAATTGAATTACACAAATCTTAAGTATGATTTTAAGTAAAGATGGATAGTAACTAACAGTGGAATCCAGTTTGATACGCATCTCGTCCTATTTGGGACTCGTAACTTGGATGTACCTGCATTTCAGAATTGATTTTCACTTTGTGACTTGAACCCAGAACCGTTCGCCTCAAACGCCATCGTGTTAACCACTTAGCTAATGAGTCCTGATAGCCACTTGCTTTTGTAATGAGGTGAAGTTTAAATACATTTGGTATTGTTTGCTTGTATCTTCCGATTGTTGTGTAGAATCGCAATAGATCAGTCTCTTATTGGTATATGTATAATCGACTTTAAGGGACAATTGTTAATGTAAAGGGTAATAGTACCATCAGAGTTTGGAGAACGAAATAGATTAGTCAATTTATACTGAAATCCATAATTACAGTGCTGATTCATACAAGAACAGAAAATGGCTCTCCCTTCCGATCAATTACAGTTGCTATTTCAGTGACAACAGAAGAGCTTTATAAAGAATAAGTTGGAGTTTATAGAGAAATTACACACACGGCTGTTGAGTCATCCATTCTTTGGAGATGTGACGGGAGTTAACGAACTAATTTCTAAATTGCTTACAGAGCTGAAAAATGATTGCAGAATGCATGAATGTGTCGATAAAAGCCTCTATGAATCCATGACAAGCAGTAATGTAAGCGAAGCATTAGCAGTCATTCATGATCCGCTCAGTGGTTAAAAAACGTCTATTTCAGAGACATGCCCTGTAACGAGTTCAAATCCCATTGTCCCCGAAATACAATATACAAACACTGACTTATCCAGTTCACAGAAAGACGATGTCTTATTAAATGCTCATGAAATTATTTCAGTACCCACCTACGAAGAAACAGAAAATGAATCAAGTAGCATAATGCAGATGGTTGTATTATAGGAGCTCATCATTCTACGACAAAAGTATTTGATGAATCTACTTATCGGGCTGTTTTAGTTGTTTTACCAAATATGAGTTATCCTAATAACTTATATGCTTTTGATCGAATTTCTTACAAAAATGAAAAAAATTTGTCGGATGTATTGAATGACAGTCAAAAACCTAATGAAATTATGATAGATGCTGATTATTCTATTGATCCATTATCTACTAATGAGATTTTCAAGAAATTCAGTGAAAATGTCTCGGAAGAATCAAACCTTAATGACCTCGTATCAAGTGTCGTTGATCCTCACCATCTAGTCAGTTCTCGTGAACTCTCTGTTCAATTCGGGAAATATGTTTTAAATAGAGTCACATTAACTGTAACTTGGGAATATGAGGACCCAACATTATTTCGTGGGGGAGGATTAAGTCCAAAAAAAATTAGAGTCAGGATCTAAACTTTGAGACTTTCAAAAAAAATGAAGGGAAGGTGATATGACAGGAAGATATAAAAAGTAGCATTAAAAGAGTCAAGACAATCAGCATTCAACTGACAAGTTATAACATGAACATTACCGGTCTTTTAATTCTTCATATCGTTTCTCAACATCTATTCGTTTTGATTCAGCATTTTCACATTGTAATTTGATATTTTCTGTATTTTGCCTAGATTCTTTCAAATATGCATGTAATTCGGTTAACATTTTATCTTTTTCAGTAATAGCAGTACGTAATTGAAGTACTTCATTGCCAAGATGTTTCATAGTATCTTCATTCTGATCAACGATTCTTTTAAGTTCATCACGATTCACTTTTGTATCTTTATAGAATGTTAAGAGAGGAATATTTATATACATTAATTATTAGTGAGTAAAATAAAAGACTTTGTTAATACCCTAAGTGCATATGAAATATTAACTTTATAGATAGTATATCAATGCACTTCTTACACATAGCTGTCCATTCTTTATTATAGAGTCTGATTGATACTTGACACAAATTAGTCTATTTCTTACGAACTGTCTTGTAAGTCATTTATTGGTAGATAATTGCATCCTATATATGTAAATTGACAGATCAGCTTAAGATTACTACTATTGTATGAATTGTACAATTCGTAGTTAAAATAGCCATAGGATGAACTCAGCTGGACTATTGGGTACGGAGCACAAACCTCACCGAGGATAGAAGTCAAGTTCATTAGGTCTTGCAGTTGGTATTTAGTCTTAAAATCACTAGAATTGACGACTATTGGTAACTAATGATTCCAAATTAGGTAGGTTTTCAAAATCGTCAAACCATTATCCATTGGCATTAGCGATATATGTACCACACAAAATATAGTGGCAATACTGAATGTTCTTCATTTAATTTCCACTAAATTGGAGATTTAACTAATGAATTGCTGTACATGAGCATAAAATTAACCGAACAAATATTAAGAGAATCTTGAAACCTGTCGTCATACAGTAGTATTTCATACACCAGATAGCTCAACATACAATTTAATCGATATGTTTAAACTACTGATTAGTATAAAAGTAGTATCAAATGCATGCAGACATGTAATTGTGGCACCAATATTTTTCCAAGTAAATTGGCATTTAAGAATGGTGATTTCAGATACTAAACTGTAGAACAAAACAGTAAAGCTTATTTCTTATCAAAAAATCACTTTATCGTTTTGGTTTTTAGCTTACACACTGTAAATCACAAGATTATCTTATGTAGAGCACCACTGAATGCCTGGAATTACTGGGGAGATGTTTCATCAGAATTAATCATGACCATTCATGAACATGCAGGTGGGAATCAAACCTACAACTATTGGTTTAACGGGCATACATCGAAATTTGGTCAAAGACGATGGAAACAGACCATCCTTTAAGGTATTCAGTAATGATTAAAATTACTCTAACTGAATTATAAACGTTTATTAACAAAAGATCTGTCATTTTAAGAAAGAAATTTTCATACCTTTCAACTCTTGTGCAGTAGTATTCAACTCAGCTCGTAGTCTTTCAATTTCTGCAATTTTAGTACTTAAACGACAAGATGCTCCACTGATTTCTGCAGCTTTGGCTTGAGCTAAATCACGTTTTGTTTGTTCCAGCTATTTAATAGACATGTAAAAGAACATTCAAAGTATGACCATTTCAGTTGAAAAATATTTTTATGACGAAAGTTTGTGATAATATGAGGGAAATGAGGGGAAATATGAAAGTTGTAGAAGCTATTCTTTGAAGGTTAAGTAGATTTATTCATAATGAATATTTATTGAACACTTGGTTTCTGTATTGTTAACCGTTCATAGTTTGAAGTACATCAGCTAAAAAATTGCCGTCTTGTATTCATCTTATGTAACCATGTGAGGTTTTTAAGCCTGTATACTACAGACTAATATCGGAAAGAGTATAAAGATTAAGTATACGGTTATTATTGTAGGGAACACAGTGTTCGTGAGTATATGGTAAGGTTATAACAGCTAAAGGGTACATGTTGTGATTTCTAAGGTGATATATGTATTTTCGATGAACAGCAACATGTGATAAACATTAGCTAAGCAAACTATCTTTCAGGTGTTCGACAAAATATAATTGACAGATTTTGATTAAGATCATGAACCGATTGATGTCCCACAATTGGACGAAACGGCCGTCCAGTGCTTCCAGGTTTCCAAAGGTGGTCTAATATTAATCGGTTCATGATCTCCATCAAAATCTTAATAATCTCCACAACCCCTATACTAATAATTGACAGAATTTAATTAATATAGTTTAATGGTCATATTTAACTGATAATCAGCTCACATAATGAATTCATCTCTACTCAGAATTAAGATGTCAAACAATGTCAACGTGATTGATCTTATCCAAATACCAGGGGCTTTTCAGCACATATTAGTTATAAATAACCCTTATATGTTAATGCATTTGAAAAAATTAAATAACTAGGGACTATATTCTGTAAATCATTCCAATTGCATAGTAAAGGAGATAGTCACTGAGTTTGACTGCAATCGATCAGTCTCATATTGGTATATGTGCATCCTGTGCTGATTGCCTCGATATAGTCTTAGGTCACAAGCTTTTTAAGTGAATATGGATAGTGGCTAGCAGTGGAATCCAGATACATCGATCTGAAGACATCCCAAATAGGACGAAACGCGCGTCCAACTGGATTCCACTGCTAGTCACTATCCATATTTGCTTGAAAACTATTAGATAGTTCTAAAATATTCATTTCATTATCTGGTGTTTAATAATTTGATGTCACTTTAATCCACTGAGACGCAAACCCATTAATCAAAACTCCAAGTCTCTTATCAATTGGTTAATAGATGAAACATGCTGCATATTATTACTTGTCAGGGTTTTCATTTCATGATTTTCGATAATCAAGACTGAAATGAATGATATCTAATGACTTTCGAACTACTTGAGCGGATAGATGCTTAAGTCTCAATAGTAGCATCTAAATGTAATTACGTCTAGCTGAAAAGTTATCTACAGAATGAGAAACATTCTGAATTTTTTTTTGATTGAGATTATGAATCGATTGATGTTAGAGCACCATTTAAGACCTAGAAGCATTGGACGGCCATTTCATCCTACTATGGAACTCCTCAGAAGTGTCCATACATGATCTCGCACTCGGGATTCAGACCTAGGGCCTTAGATCTCGCTCGCGAAGGCTTAACCTCTAGATCACTGGGTCCATGTCAGGCAGAGCCAGGTATCTACCTCGTTGCAATGAAAAATGGTCGCTCAATTTCGTGGATTGGTTGAGGTTAGACATTAACACCGTGGGATGCCGGCTCAGTGGTCTAGAGGTCAAGCGTTCACGCACAAGTACAAACCCAATGGTTTTAATTGGTAAAGGTTGACTATGCCAATGTATCATTCAAATTTAAGATAATGGCTCTTATATTTTTGGTTGACATTCATGACTCAATGATGGATAGCTTGTACTGTATTAAAGTAAATCCCACCAATATTTCGTTAGTAAGTTGTTAAATGGTGATAAACATCAGAAGACTTAAGAATAACGATCATGATTAATGGATTTTCGAATGTAACATATCGGTGATTGGTTTGTTAGATCCATGATTTAACTGTATAAACGGTAATCCATATGAATAGAAAGGAATCTTCCATTAGATATCTAACTATCATTATTGACCCAAAATCTTAATCTTGACACTTTTTGAATATTTTTTTAAAGAATGTTATTGTGTCTGTTATTCTGTTAAACCACTTGGATCCCGATTGGCTAATTATCAGCCCAATGTCGTCAATACAACATAGCCTTGTGTAGTATGTAACACCAATTAGAATTGGAACACCTGGCAAGAGAACCAGAACAGAGAGCAACTCTAATAGCAACGAAGGAACAATGAAGATTGAGACAACTGATGGATAATTTGCAAATGAAGTATTGAATGTGTGGTTTTCAAGCAGTTAGTTGAAATTCACTTAGTATTGTTTACTTGTATCTTCCGATTGATGTTAAGGACTACAATTAATTAGTCTTTTATTGGCATATATGAATTCTGTGTGGATTGAGTCGATATAGCATTAATTTACAAGCTTTTCAAGCAAAGATGGATAATGGCTAGCAGCAGAATCCAGTTTGATGAACGTTTCGTCCTATTTGGTACTCATCAACTGAATGTACTTGTATCTCAGAGTTGATGTTCACTCTGAGACTTGAACACAATACCATCCAATTCCAACGCCATCACTTTATCTACTTCACTTAGCTACTTAATCCTAATAGCTACTTGCTTTTTGTAATAGGGTGAAGTTGAAATTCACTTGGTATTGTTTTACTTGTAGCTGCAATTGATCAATCTTATATTACCATTTGCACATACTGAAATATTAGTTTATTTGAAATATTATATAATATGTTATATAATTTATAATATTATCATTGAGTCAATATATGATTATTATCAGAATGGGTTTTGTGGAGATTTTTAGGAATTCCACTGGTTGAAATCATGAGTCAATTGAAGCTACACCACCATGGAAAACCTGGAAGCACTAAACGGCCGTTTCATCCTAGTATAGGACTCTTCAGCAGTGCGCATCCACGATCCCGCCCCCGCGAGATTCGAACCTAGGACCTATCAGTCTCACGCCAGGCGCTTAACCAACTAGACTACTGAGCCGGCATCCAACGGTGTTAATGTCTAACTTCAACCATTCCACGAAGTTGCGCCACCGTACATCACTGTCTTCAGTGAGTTATTATCTCACAACAGACCTGGTTGAACTCCACTAATTAAAATTTCAATAAATCAATTTACTTCATACCTCACGTTTCATTTGTTCAATAGATGATTTATGTCCACGTATTTCATTATTACGTCGTTCTAATTCATCATCTTGTTCAAATATTGAATCTTCTCGTAATTTTAATTCTTCTTGAAGTTCTCTATTGTCTTTCATTAATTTCTCTTTTACTTTTTCAGCTTGTGTAAGATTATTTCGAATCTATTTTAAATGAAAAAAGAAAATATAAAAATTAACATTTAAGTGTAAATTTCCTGTTTCATGATTAACAAATAGAATTCAAGGTTTATATCTTTTCTCACTTTGTGTAAGCAATGATGGATAGTGGCTAGCAGTGGGATCCAGCTTCGTCCTATTCGTGACTGGATGTACCTGCATCTCAGAGTTGATATTCACTCTGGGACTCGAACCCAGTACCATTCGCTTCAAACGTCATAGCGTTATCTACTCAGCTACTATGTCCTCATAGCCACTTGCTTGTGCAATCGGGTGAATTTGAATTCACTTGGTATTGTTTGGCTTGTATCTTCCCATTGGGGTTTAAGACTGAAATTGATCAGTCGTCTTTTGTTGGCATATGTGCATACTGTGCGTATGCCTCGATATTGCCTTAATTGACAAGCTATTTGTAAGCAATGATGGATAATGGCTAGCAGTGGAATAGGACAAAACGCGCGTCCTAGTAGTCATCAATCTATTCGTCTAGTAAGGTGTTATTTAATTAGGAATTGTATTTTGAAGTTACTGACATTGAAAACCATATTTAGGACGTGTACATTTTGAGAAGATGAATTGTTAATACCCGTAAGTACTGGTTTTTAATCTACTTTTGAATGGTGAGAATCAAGATCATTGATAATAAATGTCGACAGGTGATTGAATCATAGTTCTAAAAGAATTGATAAGCTGATGATGCAGTTCAGAACAACGATTAAAAGCTCTACGACTAAACCATCCATCTCAGAGGATAAAACTTCATCAGAATTGATGAACCTTTATCTCACTTCTGTCAGTAGTTTTGATAAATTTTTAATTCAAAGACAAGTTAATAAATAAAAGTTAACCTGGAAGATGATGTTATTTTTAATATAATGTGGTATACTCTACTTATGTTAACACATATAAGTAGGTAGTATTTAACACCAATCCAAAGTGGAATGCATGCCAGTAGAAGATTGAGAAGAATGAATTGAAATGTACAGGAATGTAAATAGATAGTAATTGTAATAACAAGAGGAGTGAAGGAACAATGAAGTTTGTGATAGACAGTTGATGAAACATGTACAAATAAAGTATTCAATATATGGTTTTCATATAATTCTGCATTAAACAATAATGTGAATCGCCCCCCACCTGAGTTCCTATTCACTACAATGGATTATAGGTTGTCTTAACTAGTTGAAAATGTGGTCTTTAGTATCAATCTACACACTTAGAAGGTAAGGAATTCTTAAGGTTTTCATAGTTCACAATGTATTATACTATTAAGATGTTTCGAAATACCAGGATGGTAGGTTAGGTAAAGTATGTTGTTAATAAACTTCACTCAATAACTTTGTAATGTTGGTTACTATGTTAAACCCATATAACGTATTCTAGCTTCTGAACAACTCAATTCATCCATTCTTCTTGAGTCAAATTTTGACTTTGTTAGTTATTCACTTATCATTCTTGACTGTTTTTATATGCGCGTATGTGTGTGTACACTTCTTATCCTATTCTTCACATGTCTGTAACTTATTCTTATCTGGCTATAAACGCTTGATTGAACGGAGTTGGCTCACACGCATTCTGTACTGTGCGCCATCTTACTTCACTCTCTTTTATTCGCTTCCTTCTCTTCATCCCTCTTATTGTCTGTCCATATCAGTGAGTGTACAAAGTATAAGTATTCAAACATCCATTATCATATTTGACTTATTTAATTACATTAGTAACCAACGCGATTTCATTCGATGATTATATACGAAAATTGGTGATATGTATATTTCAATAACATTTGTGCTATCTAATTGGAGTCAGATTCAGGGCCACTAAAACATTTTGTTTAAACAAATTTCCGGAGGATATAAATATGCATATTTCAAACGTTACCGAATGTGGCTGTTTATTATTGATAGTTGATATCACAAATGTTAACCCTGACGAATTCATACGTTATTCTCTAAACAGACACTCTATGATAACAGGCTCGAAATGTCTAGATACCTATTATTCTATCAAGTCATTTCATACTGATTCCAAGTCTCATAAGTATCCTACCATCTTCCCTTAGTATTCTTTATCCATATTTTGAAAATAGAACATACGTAACTAAGCAAAGATGGATAGTGGCTAGCAGTGGAATCCAGGAGCCGCTTTTCATCCTATTTGGGACTCGTCAGCTCTGCTTATAAAAGCTTGTGAATTAAAGCAATATCAAGGCATACGCAGAGTATACACATATGCCAATAATAGACTGATCAATTTCAGTCTTAAACTTCAATGAGAAGATACAAGCAAATGAATACCAAGTGAATACGTAACTAAGTCTAAAGTTATTTCAATCACTAACTGACTTCAGGGATCGAACCCAGGGCTCTCAAGTCTTAGAGTAAGCATATATATACATAATGGTAATATTATTTTATCCTCAGGGCTACTTACAATTTGCATTTCTTTTCTCATACATTCAATTTCTTTTTTATAACTAGTTATTTCAACATTGGTCCCCAGTTTTTGTGACTGAAAAAGAAGATCAATGAAAATAAGAAAATACCAACAAAAAAAATCAATTTCAACAAAACTATATTGACATGGTAATAGATCCCTTGATCCCATTGTTGAATTGAATGGGATGATTTCAATCGAATCGTATTAGAAGTCGAATGTTTAAAGAATAATAAAGCATGACTACATTTAATATTGAACAATAGAAAGGATAATAAACGAGTTCCACTTCTAATAAAAGTTTGTTTTGGAAATTTTCCTCATTCTATAAATATCATAAGATGGTTGTTGAAGGCAGTCCAACAGGACCTGACCTACATGACATTGATCATTACCCCCAATGATCCATCAGTTGTATCTATAAATATCATATTGTTTTATGGAATCTCTTAAAATCAACTATTCAGTAGATGAAAGTAATTGAATTGCTTGAAATGTAATAATCTTGATATATACTAAGTGAACTATTGAAGTATCTACTGAAGTACCTATTTCTTATTTCATAATATATAAAGTTTCGTCAATATCAGTTGATATGCTCCATATAAAGTACCTTGATATCTTCTGATCATTCGTTATTCTTCTGTCTGTTAGAAACAAGTTATAGCCTGTCAAATATTCCAAAATTTGAAAGAACCAATATTGATTGAAAGGTTCAGTAGGACAACATCTATATGATCAGTATTAAACTAAACTAAAAGGGTATTTCGAACTTTATTCATTTTATGAACCAAACTCAGTATTTTTAAATATTGTATACATTTCCATCATAAATTACCAGTTGAGGCAGTTCCAAGCAGTATTTTGAAACATGTTATGATATCAGTGGATTTATAAGTCTACTGTATGATTGTAGAGAAGATTTGTAGCTCAGGTGGATGGAGCTTTTATCGTTCTTCCGAACGATATCATCAGCACAAACTTCACGACCAAAACATCCAGCTCAAAGAACAAAACTCCATCAAAATCTGTATAAACGTTTTATCTGAAACATCTTCAGATCTTAGGTGGTTTTTCATTTTATTCAAATGTCTTATAAATAACCTGATCATCAAATTTACATCATAGACTCATCTCCTTCACAGGGGATGGTACATAGATAATTCAGATCTTGCGACGACCGACATACCATTAAATCATCTAGTCAGCATCTGATAGTGTACGTGTTTAATCTGAACTAATTAACTGATCATACTAGAAAGAAAAATGTGCTTAGTCTATTTTGCTTTCCAATACTTTTCTAATTAAGATCAGTCTATGATGCATAATATAAAAACTCAACAATCTATACAAACACCTATGTCAATGAAAGGAACACAATTGAATAGTATCAACCAACAATAGATCAACATAAATTCATCCGAATATTGTAAAAGAATAAACAAACCTTGATTTCACTTGGTTCCTTCTCCATTAATGCACGCATTGCTTCATTCATTTTACGCATTTGTTCAACACGTGATTTTAAATCAGCAATTTGTTCATCACGAGCATCAAGTATTTCTTCTTTTTCATCCAACTAAAATAAATTTGATGTAATTAATGTCAAATCATTGAAACAAATTAATAGATCTTAATAAATATTTATGTCTATGCATGAATCAATTCAAGTTAGACCACAATGGAAAACGTGAAATCACCAGCCGACCATTTCGTTATATTATGGGACTCCTCGGCAGTGCGCATGCACGATTAACCTCTTGACCACTGAGCTGATATCCAACGGTGTTAATGTCTAACTTCAACCAATCCACGAAAATGCTCGATCATCTTCCATTGTGTCGAGGTATATATCTGTCTCTATGTGTCATGGATTAACTCCATTGACCACGGCTTCCCACTAGAACTTCGAAATTCCCTCATAATGCTAGTCAGTAGTGAGCACATGGTAATTATGCGGTTGTAGAGATTATTAAGTTTTTGATTGAGATGATGAATCTATTGATGTTAGACCATCATTAAAAACCTGGAAGTACTGGACAGCCGTTTCATCCTACAATGGGACTCCTCAGCAGTTATTCTAGTTTCTGGACAGATCAAGTTATTCATTTTTCTTGAATTAAATGTTGACCTTGTTAATTGTTCGTTTCGTTTAGGCATTCCCTTGCCTGGGTTCGCCTCGATTCGATTTGATTATGGATACTGAGTCACGCTTAACTAAACTGAGTTGGCTTACATGCTTTACCAATTTACATACTCATGTGAAGCTAGGTAGATAGGTCGTTTGATGCGTACTTTATCCGAAAGAATTCAAGAACATTATCCGGCGTGACTAAAAACAGGAGGAAACGGCTGAATAACAATTTCAATAATCGAACACCATGTGAACACAGGTCACTCAGTCGAAGTCATCTGAAAGGTAAGTAGAAGTCTTCTAAAGTCAATTAGATTGAATCTTCTTTGCATTGCCGAAGTAATATACATACATCTGGAAAAACCAGAATTGTGTGTGCAAAAGAGATTGGACCAACCTCTTCTTCTAACATGGTCTTAATGTCTTATAATCTTTTTCTTTTTTTTCCTTCCTCATACTCTTCTTCCTTTACAGCCATCTGCTTCATCTTCCATCTTCCCCTGAAATCTTCTACCCCCAACTGGTTTTTTTCTGTTTCTATGGTCCTTGTGATTACATTTAATCTCAATTTCAACATTTTTTAAAATCATACTGAACCATTCTTCCCCCCTCATCCTTTCACATAACTGCCAACATCAGAAAGAATATCTAATTCAATGAACAATGATACTGACTTGATTTGCTTACCTCCTTTTGTAATATCTCACTTCGTTTACAATCTAATTGTTTTATAGAATTTTGATCAATAGAAATATTGGATTTCGATGCTATTTCTAAATGTTTTTGTAAAATTAAAGTATGTTGATGTTCTTCAGAGAGAAGTTTTTCCAAGGATCGAATTCTTTGATATGGATCCTAAATGATAAGATGAAAACAATCACTATGAATAGGTATTCAATTCTAATTTCATTGAGTGAATTTTAAAATGATTTATAGCTTAGATGAATGATTTGGATGATGTTTTTTTCTTTGAGTGAGATGGTTTGGTTGTGGAGCATTCACAGTTCTTCTGAACGATATCATTAGCAATGATAGGTTTAAGGTCAATATTACTTACTTTCATCATGAGGCGTCATAGTTCTTCTAAACGAAGACCTTCTGACTCCCAGGGCAGAGTTTAAAAGGTTTGAATAATTTTTTCTGGTTAGCGTTTTTTTAGCGAGTTAGTTTTCTACGGGATGGGGACGCTAACCCCATGCCCAACCCTCCTCCTTTATCCAGGCTTGGGACCGGCAGTAGCCCTCGGAGGGACTTCAGGTCAATATGAACCATTAAAAATCCAGGTCTACAGGACAACCTATGAACTTCACTTCTATCTGAAGTTTAGGTTGATTGAATGTGTCAGAAATCTGAAGCTCATTCACAATGACTAATTTTGTCAATTAGATCTAATCATTAAGCTGCCATACATATCCCAGTGTAATTTCAAAATTTCATCATGATAATGTCTTATCATTATTTTGATTTAAAAGGATAATTAACTGATACAGACATTCTAAACTGTGATATCTACAGTAAATTGTACACTTTGACAATTTAAAAAGATTTAATTTATTCATGAGTTGATTAAAGCTAGACCATCATGGAAAACCTGGAAGCACTAGATGGTCGTTTCGTCCTATTATGGGATTCCTTATCAGTGCACATCCATGATCCAGTAATCGAGACTTGAACTTAGGACCATCGGTCTCTCACGCGAACGCTAAATGCCTAGACTACTGGTCCGTCCGACCGTTGCTTCCAAGTTTTCCGTGGTGGTCTAACTTCAATTGATTCATAAATGCAACTATTAAATTACCACAATCTCAACAAGAAGCCATATTCTAATTCAATTAATTCATCAAGAGTACTTATGATGAAATAAAATCACTTGAGAAAGATCGACAACTGGTTATTAAAATTTACTTGGTATTGTTTGCTTGTATCTTCCCATTTTATTTAGGACTGCTATTGATCAGTTTCTTATTGGCATATATGCATCCTGTGTGGATATCACTGCTAGCCACTATCCATCTTTGCTTATAATGCTTGTGAATTAAAGCAATATCGAGGTGGTCCGGACAAGATGCACATATGCTAGTAAGAGACTGATCAACTGAAATCCTATACACCAATGAAAAGGTACAAGCAAACAATACCAAGAGAATTTGAACTTTACCCCACTGCACAAGTATGTGACTATCAAGACTCAGTGGCTAAGTGGATAACACGATATCGTTTGAATTGAATGATACTGTGTCCGAATCCCTGAGTGAACAACAACTCTAAGATGCAGGTACATCCAACTGTCGAGTCCCAAATAGGACGAAACGTGCATCAAACTGGATTCCACTGCTAATCCGTGATTAGTTTTAAATTGATTCAAAATTTTAATTAACATAAATGTGAACTATTTATCAATGATCCCTACAGTCATTTAATCATCTCCAAATCTGTAAGGAAGACATTTAAATTGTATTAAAACATTGAATCAAGTGTAACAGTTAGATGGAGAATTAACTCAATGAATATCCCTCTCAATACTTTTCAGTAACATTGTTTAAATATACAATAGACAGTCATATATGAAATAAAGTAATAGATGATTGTAAATAGAAGATTTAACTGAATAACTCACTACTGTTTTAACTGATTCATTTGAAATTTCATCAACTTTCTTAGTTACAGATGATTGATCTTCCATTGTGTAATTCACATTGAGAAGACTGAAATAATATAACGAAGAATAGTCATCATCATAATTATTATTATTACTATGATGGTCAATATAGAAATTCTGGATTATTTAATAGTTTGTTTCCTAACTCTTTGATATGAATCTTTTTCGTGTTTGGAAACATTCATAGGCATATTCACTCAAACTCAAAAACCATCATTGAAGAACTCAGTTAGTATCTAGTTGTCTGTATGTTACGACTTCAGTAGGTTTGTGACATAGTGGTATCG